AAAAAAAAAAAAAAAAAAAAAAAAAAAAAATCAAATGTGGGAACACATTAGGGAACAGCGCCTGCTACAAAGCAGGAAGGCAATCTACAGAACGGACAACCAGGGGATGCGGAGGCACCTGTGGGAAACACGCAGTGGTGCACTCAGTACTCCACACCTGGGTCTATACACCCCTGGCCCCCGCCTCATTGGTAAGGATTCTTTCAAATAATGTCCTTAGAATGGGCTGGTTGCCGAACCGAGGTAGTAGACCTAGAATATGGGAATTGTGGGTAAAATGCTCACCAAGGAAGAGACCTGAGCTTGCTGGCACAGTTGCTGGTACCTGAAAGCATCTTGGGCATTTTTATTTATTTTTTTGTGGAACTGGGGATTGAACTCAGGCCCTTGTGCTTGCCAGACAAGCGCTTATTCTACTGAGCCATCTCCCTGGCTCATCTTGGGCATTTTTATATTATTATTTTTTATCTTGGGCATTTTTTTTTTTTTTTTTTTGTGGAACCGGGGATTGAACTCAGGTCCTTGTGCTTGCCAGGGAAGTGCTTATTCCACTGAGCCATCTCCCCGGCCCCATATCTTGGGCATTTTTTTTTTTTTTTTTGCGGAACCGGGGATTGAACTCAGGCCCTTGCGCTTGCCAGGGAAGCGCTTATTCCACTGAGCCATCTCCCTGGCCCATCTTGGGCATTTTTAAAGGAACTTTTGCCTTGGGTTCCCCCAAACCTGGTGAGATAGTACATCCTGAGGCCCAGAGGCAGGCCTTTGGTGTTGCCTCCCAGGCCTGCAGCCTCAGTCCTTTTACTGTAGCTCTGCCTCCACCAAAGGCTTTTCTTTTTTAATCATTTATTTATTTGATACAGGGTCTTGCTATGCAGCACAAAATTATAGTGATCCTCCTATCTCAGCCTCGCCAGCACTAGGATTACAGGCATGTACTATCATGCCTGGTTTTGGGGGCCGGCCCAGCACTGAGGCTGGCATGGAATGCAGTACCGGGGATTGAACCTGGGTCCTCCCGCTTGTCAGGCAGGCACTTAGACTCACGGGCTACCTCCCCAGCCACCCAAGTGCTATTTATGTATGTATGTATGTATGTATTTATTTATTTTTTGGGCAGAACCAGGGATTGAACTCAGATCCTTGCATTTGCCAGTCAAGCGCTTATCCTACTGAGCCATCTCCCTGGCCCCTTATTTTTATTTTTTAATGTATTTGGTTTTGTGCAGGATCTCACTACTCAGCTTGGACTAGTTCTGTGATCCTCTTGCTTTCAGCCTCCCCAGTGTTTGGATTACAGACCTGAGCTACCACACCACCCTGGGGGCGAGGCTGGCGCAGCATGTGGTGCCGGGGATTGAACCATGGTCCTTATGCTTGCCTAAGCAGGTGCTTTAGTCTGCTGAACTATCTCACTGGCCCCCAGTGCTTTTTAAATGGGCATTTTATAGATAATTGGGAAGTAGGGAGAAAATGTTCAAATGAAGGGCGACACAGGAGGGAATAGAGATTTAAAAAATAAAAAGAGGGCTGTGGAGATAGCTAGCTAAGCGCCTGCCTAGGTAAGCACAAGGACCTGGGTTTGATCCCCTGTAGCGCAGGCTATGCTGGCCCAGCCCTGGTTGCAGTGAGCCAGCTACCAAGAATGGGTGTGGTGGTGCATGCCTGTTATCTCAGTGCTGGGGAAGCTGAAAACAGGATCACTAGAAGTCCAAGCTGCATAATGAGATCCAGTATAAAATACATTAAAAAAAAAAAATCTAAAAAACATTTTAAAATTTTTTAAAAACTAAATAAAAGAATGGGAGGAAAACAAGGATTTGTTAAATCTTTGAAGCTGGCTGACTTTTCTGTTGCTACCATTCTCAAGGAGACTGAGATTCTGAGACAAACAGGATTTTCTTTTTTGCAGTACCAGGGATCAAACTCAGGACCTTGCGCTTGCCAGGCAGACACATATGCCACTGAGGTATGTCCCCAGCCCCTAGTTAGGAATTTTTTTTTTTGTGCAATCGGAGATTGAACTCAGGCTTATTCTACTGAGCTATCTCCCCGGCTCTCCTGGTTAGGATTTTGAATGAATTAATTATAAATGTGTAAAGTTACATGTGTGTCATTGGAGAGGTCATGTTTGGGTTTTCTACTGTAAATATGAATGCACCTGACAATTCTGTGATTGAATTAATGTATTTGTGAGTTGAAATAAAGATGATTATATAAGGCTGGGGAGATAGCTCAGTGGCATAGTGCCTGCATGGCAAGTCCTGAGTTTGATCTATGGTACAAAAAAAGAAAAGATTATATATAAAAAAAATTAAAATTCCTAAGGCCAGCTGGGGAGGTAGCTCAGAGGTCTGGCAAGCACAAGGACCCAGGTTCAATCCCTGGTACTACATGCCATGCAGCCCTGGAAGCTGGGGCACACCATGCTGGCCACCAAAAATGGGTGTGGTGGTGCATGCCTGTAATCCCAGCGCTGGGGAGGCTGAGACACAAGGATCACCATGAGTCTGAACTTTGTAGTGAGACCATGTATCCAATGAATGAATGAATGATTTAAAATAAAATAAAATGTCCACTGCTTTTGGTGGAAACCAAGCCTCCAGTCACTGGAGGAGCCTGCATGGGGCCACTGCCAGCAGGCTTGTGTGCTTCCTTGTTTAAATGCAAGTAAGTTAAAAGAATTCTGTCTGATGCCTTACCAAAACAGCATTTACTGCGAATGGTATGAAAACAGCCACCCTAGTTCTTAGTACTATTTCCATCACAGTAAGTGCAAGAGATATTTCCCCATATAGTTTCTCTCTGGCTAAGCAGAGTCATCAACTTGAAATTTCAGCTAAGCCATCAGGTGGATTAAACCAAATACAAGTTGGGCCATCTACGGGGTCCAACTAGGTGGCCAAGAGAACTCTGTTTGGGAAAATCCCCCATCATTTCCTGGAGGTTAGACCAGGCAGGCCACAGAGGGCTCAGCCTCTTGTCCATCAGGAGTTCATGGGTCCCAATATGGAGACAAAGGTTTTCTTCCCTGGTAAATGATGCCGGCATCACCGTGAGGTTCAGACAGAGACATCTGTCCAGGTTGTGTAAAGTCTCTCAAGGGCACCTGTGGACCTCAGGTCTCATGTGTAGGATGCTACCTTAAGGAACGCAGGCCTAGCTGTCTCTTCTCTGTAGGTCCCAAGGTAAGCAGATGGGAAATCTGTGGGCTCTCACCACACAGATTTCACCACAAGGCCATATCTGAGGAGCCAGGGAGATAGCTCAGTGGTATAAATGCCTGCCTAGAAAGCACAAGGTTCTGAGTTTGATCCCTGGTACTGATAAACAGGACAGGTTTGATCCTGACAATTTAAAGCCAGAAGAGCATATCCACCACTGTAATATTGTCTGCGTTCAATACAAACTGTGAGGTGGCAAAAGGTAGATATGGGACAGTTACTTTAAACTATGACATCATTCTCTGGTTACAGAATTTGTGCTTGGAACATAACAGGTGGAATGAAATGCCTCATATTCAGGCTTCTGTGACTCTTACTAAAGGGAATGCTCAAAAAGCATGGGATACCAGGCGTTGCGGTGCACGCCTGTTAGAGGCTGAGGCAGAAGGATCATTTCAAGTTCACAGTCAGCCAGGACTACAAAGTGAACTCAAGGCCAGCCTGAACTGTATAGTGAGGATACTGTCTCTAAAACACAAAACAAAAGAAGGGCTGGGGATATAGCTCAGTGGCATAAGTGCCTGCCTGGCAAGCTTAAGGTTCTGAGTTTGATCTCTGGTACTGCAAAAAGACCAAAAAAAAAAAAAAAAAAAAAAGAAAAAAAAAAAAAAAAAAAAAAAAAAAAAAAAAAGCCACACTACTTTTTTTTTTTTTGCAGAACTGGGGATTGAACTCAGGCCCCTACACTTGCCAGGCAAGTGCTTATTCCACTGAGCCATCTCCCCGGCCCCAAAGCCACAATACTTAATGTCTGAGCCCTCTGAAAGAAAAAGATACCCTGGTAGACCTGTTCTGAGACTCCTATTTGTCTTTTGGGGGTAGGGTCTCAGTCTCATTGATTTATTTAGGAAGGATAAACAAATCAGGCACATCCCCTTCAAGTGACCAGGGCTCCATCAGGGCTCACTCTCACGGAGCACGCCCCAGCTTCCAGCAGGCTCCTCAGCAGTGCTACACCCTGTGCACAACACACAGCTTTAAGCCCCACTGGGGGAACCTGAGGTGGCGCTTCCCACTGCTTTAGCTCAAACTTTGTCCTGCCTTAAGAGAAGCCCCAGGGATGGAAGCAAACACTGGAATGCAGGTTCCCTTTTCAGGTCCAGATGTCCACTGCGCAAGGAATGGCCAGGCCAACTGCCAACAGGCCCTAGCAAGTCTGCAGATGGGTTCCATGACAGGTTCTGGCCCAAATAGGAATTGCTGAACCACTGTGGTGGACTAACATGGCTGAAGCCCTAAAACAACAGCTTACTGTCCCAATGACCACTTCCCTGTCTTCTCCCCTCATCCCTGAATACAAACTTCTCTTATCTTTCACCTGTGAAAATAAAAGAAAACCCAACCAGTGCCCCTCTGTTCAGGCCTGAGGATCACGCCATTGTCCAGTGGTTTTCAGCCATGCTCAGACAGTGGTTGTGTAGGGTCCTCAACAGATTTGTGCCAGCCGACAGAAGGAAAAGCCAGACTCACAGGAGGTTGCTCATTTCTTCATTTAGAAGAAAGCAACACTTATGATCTGTACAACTTGCTGAATTTGTTTTTTTCACGGAAAGCCTTATCATAAAAAGTTCAGTAACTGTAATTAATGTACGAAGATAATGTGATTATGCTTGATTTTTGTAAGGTACACAGCATTCAGTTCCTATTTTGATGGGATTTTTTTTCAATAGAGTTTGAATTATGGAAAAAAAAACCCCGGGGTCGCTGCTCCCAGGGAGCTTGCAGCACTGCAGTGCATTTATAATGTCCAAACAGGAGAAGGAAAGGGTGATCATAGGGTCTGAGATGGAGCAGATCCAGACTGCTTCAAGGCCAGAAGGAAAGCTACTCTGGCTGCAGGAAGAGAAGGACCAGAAATGAAGTACAGTATGTCGCAAAGGATGCAGCAGAGCTCAGGTCAGCATCATGGACTGAAAGAGATGCTTGAGGGCACCAGAAGAAAGGAAGCTACGAGGGCTCACGAGTGTCTGTGGCATCTACACGTTCCCTGCTGCTTCTGCTTCCTGAGCCCCCTATGAGGCCTCCAGTCTCATCCAAGGTCTGACTCTCTCGCTCCCTTCTTTCAGGCCCCACCCTTTCTTCTGTGGTCTGTCTGGCTCTGGGTTATGTAGCTGCGCATATGCACACAGGTGTTAGCTCCCTTCCTGCCCACACATACACCTATGAGCACCAGGCTGATGCTTGACAAATACTTGTGAAATGACCAAGTGAACACAAACACCTCCCCAGGCAGTGCTCCATGCATCCCCCTTCCTGAATAGGAAGCCCAGTGTGTGGCAGGAGCATCCCTGCCGTGGAATGCATGACTCAGGACTCACCCTTAAGAAGGACTGCTTCTCACCACAAGCCTTGCATGTCCACTTAAGACTCCTTTTCACCTGCAAAATTTCAGAAATATAGCTCATTGATACAAAACAAGGCCAACTGCCTCAGAAAGGAGTCACCCAAGCTTCTAGCCCTAAAGGGAGCTTGCTTGCTTAGTAATTTATTTATTGGTACAAGGAATTAAATGTAGAATCTGCACTTTGAGCTATATATCCAGCCCTTTAGTATATTTTGAAACAGAATCTCACTAAATCACTTAGGCTGCACCTGTACTTGTTATCCTCCTGTGTCAAGCTCCTGGAGTGCTGGCATTACAGGGACGTACCATGGTACCTGGCAATGAAGGTAGCTTTTTTTTTTGTACCCAGAATTGAACTTAGGGACTTGAGCCTGCCAGGAAGATACTGTGTCACTGAGCTACACCCTTGTCCCTGAAGGTGGCCTTTTAAAGATGAAAGAATGTCTATGCTGGAAGAGTAAGCCCATACATATGAAACAAAATCATGTTAGATTCCTATCTGTGGTTCTCAAAATAGAAAAAAAAAATTTAAGGCTTGGTTGTGATGTAGCCCATTGGTAGAAGGCTTATCTAGTGTTCTCAAGGACCTGTGTTTGGTTCCAGAACTGGAAAAATGAAAATCCACATTTATCTTTTATTTTTATTTTTTTTTAATTTTATTTGTTTATTTATTTATTTAGTGTGTGTATGTGGCCAGCTCAGCCCACCAGGGGGTGGGGCTGGCTGGCATGTAGCGCTGGGGGATTGAACTGCGGTCCCTGTGCTTTGCTTAGCTTAGCTTGTTCTAAGTAGGTGCTTTAGACCACTGAGCCATCTCACCAGCCCCATATTTTTTTGTTTTTTGAGACAGGGTCTCACTATGCAGTTCAAGCTGGCCTTGAACTCATAGCAGTCCTCCTGCCTCGGCCCTCACAATGTTGGGATTATAGGCGTGTGCCACCACACCTGGCAAAAATCCAAATTTTAGGTGCATATACACACCAGCTTGGTTCATTTCTAATGTCATTCCGCTCCCCTCCCTCACTAGTTCCTCCAACCTATTTTTTACTCTTGTTGAGATTGTTAATCTTAGCTCATTACTATGGCTAGGGGTTCTGCAAGGAGAACAGTACAATATAGGACACATTTTACAAGATTATCTTACAATGAATCACCCAAAAACTCATATACAAGAATGCACGAAATCTACACACTAAAGACCAAATAGTTCAGCTGAGGGCCTGCATCCCACAATAATGCCTGCATGAGTCCAGCTGAAGACCTAGAGCTCATAACAATGCTTCCTACAGGCCAACTGGAGGCCTAGAGCCCACAACAAAGTCTCATGTGGGCCGATTCATGGATCTTCCCTGGGAAGGCTCAAAGGTCAGTGGTGGAAACTAGAAAGCCTGCATCAGCAGGATGAAGGATCTGTACTAGCAGGCTGAGGGAGCTGAACTATAGCCAGGAAGTGGTACTCTAGGTATAACCAGAGCTCCCTGCAGGGGCCAGGGTTCAATCCCTAGCTCCGAAAGCTGTGCCAGCCCCGCCTCTGGGTGCGCTGAGCTGGCAATAGAGCCCGGGCGCAGTGGCGGTGGCGTGCGCCTGTAATCCCAGCACTTGGGAGGCAGAAATCAGGAGGATTGCTACTAATGTGGGCTATGTAGTGAGACCTTGAACAACAACAACAAAAACAAACAAAAACAAACAACAGAGCTCCCTTAAACAGTACCACAGCCATCTTTAGCAAGTGAGGTAGGTCCTGAGCTCCTCCAAGTGATGAGAGGAGCTGAGTTTCCATCAGGAAAGCCAATCCCATAAGCTTCTCCCTGAGGCTGAGAAGTACACCACCTTCCCCTCCAGAGCCAGAAAGCAATGCTCAAGGTGAGGATCAGAGCTCCCCCAAAATGAACTGCGGCCACTCTCAGTGACAATAAAGTCCTGAGCTCCTCCTCTGGTAACAGCCAAATTTACTAGGAAAGCCAGCATGACAAAGTCCCCCAGCAAAATAGCCCAAGATAACCAACCGCTTCTACAAACAGCTTTTCTAGTTCTGCCTCTTATGCTGCTGGTATCAATCTTCAGGTGGGCCTCCCACACTTAGTACCAGGCTGATTCAATTCAGCTGAGTGTGACAAGTTGGCCACCAGCTGACAATCCACCACTCATGTCATGGCACCTAATGTTTACATTCACAGAGGTCATTAGGCTCCTGAACATGGAAGAACTCTGTTCTACTTATTTCCAGTCTCATGCTTGTTCCGTGGTCCTCTTCCCTATCACAAGAGATCCATTCCTCCTTTCATCCATCCCTTTTATTCTCTTTCTACTTTGCCTCACTCAAATGAAAGAAACCACATGAAGCTTGTGTATCTGATTTGTTTCATGCAGCACTATATTTTCTAGGTGCACCCATTTTCCTGCAAACGTCTCAGTCTATCATTCTTTGCAGTAGAGTATTCCATGACATGCAGAGGCCATATTCTCTTTAACCAGTCATCTGCTGACATGTATATAGGCTGTTTCCAGGATTTTTTTTTTTTTTTGGTGGAACTGGGGATTGTACTCAGGCCCTTGCACTTGCCAGGGAAGCGCTTATTCCACTGAGTCAACTCCCTGGTCCTGTTTCCAGGATTTAGGTGTATGAGTTGTGCTGCTCTATTGGGAAGACACCTAGCCGGGGGATCACTGGGCTGCTGGAATTCCTCATTGCAGTTCTCTGAGGAATCTCCATCCAGTTGCCATAGTGGTTGTCTTACATTGCACTCCCACAACGGCGCAGGAGGACTCCTTTCACCGCAGCCTTGCCAGCATGTTACTGATTTCTA